AGCTTGGCTAACGGGTAACCCTCCTTTCCTGGGTAGCCCGCCTTCATCTGGGTTGTTCATCTGGGATGTTGAGTAATAGTGGAGGCCGTTCATAATGTATGCGTTGGTGGGAAGACCTGTGGTGGTTTAGCACAGATTTTCGTGCAGGTCCATGTGGTGAATGAAGGGGCGTGGGCAGTGGACATTGGAGACAGACCCGGCGACTCTATTTCGGGACCCCAAGCACTGGTTCACAGTCTGTGTGTATTAAATTTGGAAGTGACCGATCAGTCCGATGCGTGAGGTGAAGGTGCGGCGGTAGTGTTGACAGGGTAGATCGCACTACCGCCACCATCACCGTCATAATCAATGAGTTTGGGGCTTTCTAATTTCTAGGCGTCGGTCTTAATCGGTATAATTTGTTTGAATCGTCTCTTTTGTCCAAGAAACAGCATCCCAAATCATGTTCATGTTTCCCTGTGTCTTTTTATTGTTTCTTTCCATTTTAGAGCGCTGGGATTACGAGTGCTGACATTAAAAAGCTGATGGAAGCTGGTTTTCATACCGTTGAAAGCATACAATTCGTGCCGAAGAAGGCGCTTCTGGCGATCAAGGGGATCAGTGAAATGAAGGCGGACAAAGTCTTGGTAAATTTCAGTTTGTTCACCCCTTCTTATCTGGCTGTAGGAGGCAGCGAAGAAATTAGTACCTTTCGGGTTCACTACAGCAACTGAATTTCACCAGAAACGTTCAGAAATAATCCAGTTGACGACTGGATCAAAGGAACTTGACAAACTTCTGCAAGGTGAGGATTCTCCAGTTTGCTTACCAATTATTACTAGGCGGAATTGAGACAGGTTCTATCACCGAGCTTTTTGGAGAATTTCGTACCGGAAAGACGCAAATTTGTCACACACTTGCTGTAACCTGCCAGGTTCGTTTCTCACTCTTTACTTTCCAGTTCAACTTAGCATATCTTGCATGCTTACTTGGTGCAACTGAGATCATGCCTGACCTAGACGAGGTAACTTTTATACACAGTGATTACATCAAGCGACAGCATTTTAATTCAACCGTAGCAATGAACGACTCCCATCATTGTTCCTCAAAGTGTAGGGTTAAGCAGCGGTAATTTGCGCGCGAACTTTTAGTGGAGTAGACTTGAGTAGATGGTCGAGCTATCATCAAGCCCATGTCTTTCACGGGTGATGAAGGCTCAGTAGGTTACGACCCGCACGCCGGCCATCAAGTAATTAGCGCACAAGCGGGCAATTGTCATCGGTAGGGGAGCCGTTAATCGTCATAAGTATGCAGACGCATAGCGACAGTAACCTATGAATACTGCAACTCTGTGTGTATGAATTACCCGTTTCTGCTTTTGTTGGTTGGTTGGTAGCCCATGTTGGATCAGGGGTTCCCGCCTGAGTCCAAA